CACAACGACCGAGACTGTCCAAGCCGGGGCTCGAACCGGCAACCTTCCGATTACAAGGCGAACTCCCAACTCTTGAGCCACGATCGCCCCATAAAATTGAAATGAAATGAACTAAATTGAATTGAAATACACAGAAACAGTTAAATGAATCATATCTATTTTTATAATGAAACAGTTCTTTCTGTAATCTATTAGCACTACTATGCTACCTGAGTGAAGCGGTTCTTAGCCAGTGCGATAAGCTCTTGTTCTCCTGGAGCACAAATGTTGAGTCCCACGGGCAGCAGGCGCTTTAGAGTAGCAACAATCAAACTTGTCTGCATCGAGTATCGATCACCTTTTCTCTTCATCTTCTTCCTCTCCTGGTCTGAAACTATTCCCTGTGGCAAAGTCAAACATTAAACAGGCATCGCTTTACAGTGTTAGGCCTATTAAGTAGTTTTAATTAATCAATTTAATTTAATTTTAAAATAAGGTCACTGGTATGCATGTCCTCAAATGTGTCCAGCATCTATGTGTCTGTACCTTTGACATCTTGCACTTGGTGTCAGTGATAAGGAAGGACATGTTGTTAATTTCATTCTGGACCACAAAGTTCTGCTCTTCTCTCTTGAAGTTCTGTAGACAGAAAACAGGACTTCCTTAAATTAAAGCACAGTTGTATTATGTGTTGTACTGTCTTTGAAAAGAAGGCAACTGGACAATATTTTTGGTTTGTAAAGACATTTTACTTCTCAGTAAGAGGCTTCTTCAGTTCTAAAACAACTGATGAGAGTCCCAGGTATTTAATACCTATTGGCATTGTGGTCCTGGGGTCAGTGACCCACTGTTAACCATGTGAGTCACCTTGAGTCAAGGTATGAAAAAATTCATGGGTCTAACAAGGTATTCGTGGGTGTGAATACTGTGAGATTATTATGCTATCATGTGTTATCCTATGGCTGTAATCGAAATGAGTGAATCATGATACTGCTGTAAGCCACACCATACTTCTTGTTATAGAGAGTATAATCAGTATGTAGTTTTCGTTTGCATTATACTTCTGAATTAAAAGAATGTGAAAATCATTAGATTTGTTAGATAGGTTCGTATTATCCTATCCTGTGATTTACTGTGAATGAGTTACACTGTTTTATGACATTTCATACTGCTGAGTTAAGAAGAGAATATTGTGTGCAGAGAGCACAGAGCACATTCAGCTCCACCCCCACCTTTGTTGGAAGCAGAAAAACAGGGAGCCAAGGTCATAACTCAGGCTCACTGAGAGTTAGAAAGTATGTATGTTTAGGTTTTTACGACTAGGTGGGGGCCACCAGAGGCTATAAGAGTTTGAGTAACGCTCCATCATTTTGAGATTTTGCTGTGACCCTCTGCATGCATGTCTCCCCATCTGGATGGTTTATGCTCATAAAGTGTTGAATTGTATGGAATAAAAGATTGTTGATTGAGCATTTATACACCGAGTATAGTCTTTCCTTCAGCCCAAAGATCAAAAGAAAAAACCCCACCATGTGAGCTCCTGTCATTGATGACGCACTTCCTAATTTATAATGTGAATCTACTGATGTCAGATGCCAGCAGCAGTAATATAGTGCATTATATAGCTTTCTATCCAGTGAATTAGCATAGAAGTAGCTTTGATGGTGTTTTTCCTGGAAACTTTAATAAAAGTATAAAATCACTGCTAAATGCTTTAGTCTAACAATAAGTTAGGTTAAGCTTTTAACTCATTACTCATCTTTTCAGGTAAACTCTCCATTAGTTGTTTTTAAACTGAAGAACACATAGATCACGATTGATGGTGTACAGTTAAGCATCTTTTGTTATTTTTCTCCACCAAACTGGATTTTACAGTCAAGATCTAATTGAAGTGAAGACTTTCAGCTTTAATCCATCCATCCATCTTCATCCGCTTTATCCGGGGCCGGGTCGCGGGGGCAGCAGCCTAAGCAGAGAGGCCCAGACCTCCCTCTCCCCAGCCACCTCCTCCAGCTTATCCGGGGGAACACCAAGGCGTTCCCAGGCCAG